TATATTTGTATGTATATATGCGTTATTCAATCGGACTTTTTGTGTCTTTTATATTTTATGTGTGCCCATATCTATTTATAGAGAGAGAAGTCCACCGCTGAGGCGCTCGAGGGACTGGAGGAGAAAATCACACAAATAGAAAAATATACAATAAATACACAGGAGCAGAAGCGACGCATAGTGGGCAATTTTCTAGCCACATCTATTGGCATTTATGTGATCGCATTTATAGTTTTTTACTTTGTCTATTTTCCGCCGACATGGCGAGAGCGGATGATTTACTCGGTGCCATTGCTTTTGTTTCCATTTGTGTAAGTATTCAAGTGCCTAGATGCCTAGGCAAGCCGGTCTTGTGGGCATTGTTGTTGAGTTTCTTTGAATATCATTTGTTGTTGTTATTATTATAGTATTATATTCCTGAGACGTTTATTTACGTGGTACTTTGAGCGAAAGTTGAACAAAAACTCAAATAAATTGACAGCATTGCAAGCCGAGAAAAAGAAAATATTAGAGCAGGTCATGGATAAGGAGACATATAAGGTGAGTGATCGGACAAAGGAAATGTATTTGATAATGCATTTATTTAACTGCATACATCGCAGTGTAGGTTTCAATTGCTATATGTAGTACATACATATATATACCTAATTAAATTAAGCGCATGAAACTTCAAGCTAATCGGTTGATAATTGCATATACTTTCACAACACTTATGTGTGTAAATCATATTATCGTGACCTCATTAACTCTGCTTTACATTACAACTCGGAATACCTATTGAAATAGATTTTCGCTTTTTCAGGTGGCCGTAAAACTGCTGGCAAGATACGGTGATAAACACAATAGTCAGAAATCACTTGGCGGTACGTTGGTTTCATTCATAGAATCACTGTTTTTTAGCATACAAATATTTTGATCTTCAATACAGTTATCACTCCAAGAGTTCCAGCCACTGGTAGCATCACAACACAGCGTCTCGGTATTGGCCTATCGCCAACTGGGCCCGTAGCTACATCGAGTCTACAAGATCTCAGGCTGCGTCCTCCAGTGAGTTCTAACTTGCTCTCACCAGCTGTACCTGGAGCTCCCAATGTAGGCGGACAAACGCCTTTACCGCGTGGACCGCTAATAATTACACCACAACGACGACCGATGGGCGGTGTAATAGCCGGTCAGGAATTACGTAGACGTACGCCTTTTCCAATAGTCAACCAGCAGGGTAAAGGTGTGATGGAACGTATCGTTGATGTACTTATCGGTGATGGTCCAAAAGATCGTTTCGCTATGATTTGCAAAGAGTGTTTCGCACACAACGGTGAGTATGTGTAAAGAAGTTTTTTTATATGGTATCATGAGGTGCATTTTATACGCGAATACAATTACAGCTATGTATGTACAATGCAAAATTTAACCCAAGCGGATTTGTCATATTTTACATATGTAAACGCTGCATTGCTGATCAACGACGCTCTCCTAACCCCCAAGCTAGGGACATCAACTTTAAATCATTTATTTGTTATTATTTTATTTTTGATTGGCAATGTAATAGACATTTCTTTTCCAATTCATTAGGCATGGCCCTCAAAGAAGACTTCGATTACACCACGTTCCGTTGTGCTTTTTGCAATGCATTGAACCCTGCACGTAAAGCACGTCCGATTGCACCACGACTGCCGGAGCAGCATTTCTCCAATTTGAAGCGTGACTCCAATTCATCGTCATCTTCCCCGACGGATATTGACTCTGAGAGTGATGGTGAGTAAAAATGCATTCAACACCTTGAGCAAATTTTTTGCCACCTAAAAACTGTTTTAATTAAATCGTATCATTATCATTTTGCAGAACCCGCTGCTCCAATGCTTACGCCATCAGCGACAGCAACACCACGTAGTACTGCGGCTGACGCAATGAATACAGTAATAAAAACAGCAAAAACAATTGATAAAATAAATATACCAGGTGTAATGCAACGTCAACCGGATATGGGAGGGGGCGATGCACCCAATACATCAAATATAATTGCTGCTGATGCGGCTGAAGTTGATGAGGAGGAGAAGATGGAGATTGAAACGCCAGATGAGCAAGAGAAAGAAGCAATATCGGCACAAGTTGTTGCCAATTTACAGGCACTGCGCGACGAAGAGTTAAATAGACTGCAAGAGCGTTTCGCCAAAATGTATGCTACAGCTGAAACGGAAGAGGAGAGACAGCCACAAGCAGTAGGCGAGACGTATTTCTGCAAAGAATTGCAGGAACTTGAGCAAACGGAGAATATTGATGAATTAAAGAAATTAAAATAACACTGATTGGCTGGACTACAATTGGCTTTATAGACTAGCCGGATATAGAGATATACATACATACATAAATGGAGATGGAAGAGATGGGTATGACACCCTATTGTTTTGCGCCAGACTTTTCAACGGAAATTGTTGAATATTGCGCTTGGAGTCTTGTTACTTATTTATAAAAAAAAACACATACACAATAACTAAAACAAAACTATGTTTAGATGTAATCGATCGATTTTAACTTTACATAATAGTTTCGTCTGTTTTTCAACATTTTTTGAATAATTTTTGCAATTTTAAAATATTTAAATTCATCAATATTTATACTTTGCATTTTGTTGTATATACGAATGTTTGTGGTGTATTTCGCTTTAATAAAACAAGCCAAATACATCCATGTCTAACTCATTAATTTGTAAACCAAATGGTTCAGTTATTGATATTCTTATTTTTTGATGCGGCTAGTGAAATGCTAAAGCAATGAAATTGAATTTAGAATCTAAAATATATGTTTGTACATATTTTTGAATATTTTTAGTGTATGAATATTTAAATGATATGCATTGATTGTATGAAATTTTATATCGAACATCGAGAGAAACAAATAATATTGAATAATTAAAATGTCATATTTTAAATAGACACATCATGAATGTCGAATTAATTGCGAATACAGGTCGTTTACACGAATGAAAATGAAAGTGGTTATAACTAACGGCTGGCTAATAAATAATCAGAATACTAGAATATGTGCAAATATGTACATACATACGTGCACGTACTTGTCTATGGCTATAAGAGCACTTGATTTGTGGAGTGCTCTGCTTGCGTCGATTTCGTAATCTTAGAAACGTTACAGGTTCTAGCACATAAAATAAATTGTTGCATTGACTTGGGCAAGTAATTGTCGTTCAGCATGTGCAACAGTGCTGGTCGTTGGTGATAACGTGAGAACTTGAAAATATAAAATAAATGCATACTTATAAATATGGTGGAGCGACTGATGAAAGTTCGACTACGTAGTTGGTCGTTTAAGATTTTTCCAATAAAAAATTAATTCCGGAAATGGTAAAGTTTTTACTAACTATTAACACAATCGTGGTTATACTAAATACTTGCAATAGGGCACCGTTTATATGACTATATGATCTGCGAAAATCTAAGTCACTCATTTTTTACCTACAGACTTTCACTTACAAGCTAAACATAATTGAGATAAATTTGATAGAGGATGTGCACTGCGACCTTGGGTCCATTGTGCCCTCGGAGCTCATCACAAACCCTCGTCTAGCCCTAGTGCTCTAATAAAACCCAAAACTTTTGAGGGCGGCAGAGAGTGAATGTGCGTACCCTCTGGTCATAACCCTCCCAGGTGTAGTAGTCTTCCTCTCGCAGCCGCATCGCACTCTTAAAAGGAGATGCAATAGGGTTTCTGCAGCCATGTCGCAGTAACAGCAGCAGTCATCCGAACTAATACCCAGGTTGTTCATATGGGTTCGCAGTCTGCAATGACCCGTTAGCAGTCCTAGTTTTAAGTCTTAGGTTTGTATCTTGGAGGGTGATTAGTCTAGGGAACTTGGGGGTTGTAACATCTCAGAAGTTCTTTTGCCTGCCGCAGTCCAGGCGTGGCCACCCAATGTGCTCTTCTGAACTGACTAGGGACGCGAATTTCAATACGATACGATACCATATCGGTACTTTTGGCTTTCGATACCGATATTTTCTACTCGATAGTTTTAAAACGATATATTTTGAAATCGAGTACCAAAACCCTAATCGTATCACGTCACGTTACGTTCGATAGACTACTCTTCTTCTCGCCGTTTACAACCATCAATTGCAATAAAAAACGTGTCAGCAACCAACTCCTCAAGATGGGCCGATAGTGATAGTGTGCTCTGTAACGTACAAGGCAATTTGCCGGTCGGTGATAAATTTTCTTCAAACATGACAAAACGCAGCTCTACAAAACGTTTCATGCTGCCATCCTTATGTCATCCGAACATCGAAGCAGCCTCCTGTGGTATGACACCGTGAGAACCACCCGAACAACGCTCTGCTTCGAACCGATCTCGACACGTAAGATGGCACCTGTACTACTAGAGGACGTCCCTTTATCGGCTTCAGGCTCACTGGCTTTATTAAGAACTGCCGCCACAACAACAGCCAGCAAACAGCGCCTCTTGAGGTGCCACCTTTGGTATTAAGTTTTCCCTAAAACCATCGCTTTAGTGCAATAAAGTGCTTGAATATCACCCACATCGACTATGATGTAACCGAGCTCCCACAAGGATCTAAAAACATCTTTACTCATCTGAAGTCGAAATGGTTTAGTCGATTAAACGGCTACCACTCCTTTCTCAACACCCGCACCCGCAAGCATTAATTTCTATGTTCAATACCACAACGCTAACATCGGAGTCCCTCTGGTTGGCTCTTTTAGATAGACGCGGTTCCTTGATATCAGGCTCTCTGGCTCGTAAGATAAAGCCGATGATACCTTAGGATACTCCATGGGATTTAAGGGTATCTCACGATTACGTATATCCAGCACCCGTCCAAACCTAGGCTTACTTAGGAAGTTCATTAGACGTTTTGTGAATGAGTGCTTTTCCGTGACGTGGCTCTGGTCTTCATAAACCGAGGTATTATTTCAGTACGATTTTCGTAGCCTCGCATTTAGGATCTAGAGACTCTGAAATTGCTGTATTTTGGGACGGATTTCTTTCATCCCTTGTCATGGGAATGCTCTTTTACATGTATATAATATCGTATAGGATATGCCACTTGGAACCCAAATTGACTCAATTCAGGGTCGAATTTTCACAAACTGCTAAATGGGCATGGGAAGGTAAGGACTATGACGTAAAATAGCGAAGTTACGACTGACTAGATCAGACACAACCCGATGAATAAGCCAGTAAATGTTCAAGGCCGGTGACAAAGATTTTATAGGGTGTCTCTATGAGTTGTTTGAAAGCAAACACGGTTTTAGGCAAGCCGATTCACTTTCATTGAATCACATTGATGACTTGTGTTTCAAAGTGATTGAGTATATCTCAGAACTTTTTAGCTTTTTCACTACACAAAACTTAACAATTTCTCCCACGAATACGACCTTTTTTGCCACCTGGACCAAAGAGGTGAAGCTGAAGTTTTTTTGGTGTTTAATTTGATGTCACCACAATTTCAACCGCAAACACCTCAATCGGCAATATAAATAGTAAACTGTTGTAACAAAGTCTGCAAATTCTACGTCGGCAGAATTTGGGGACAAGTAGGATGCATTAGACGAAGGTTCAGGCCTGCCAGTAGCAGAACTTAGGATTACTTACACAACAAGACCTTCTGATGGACCAGGTTCAGCTATGCGTACGCCAACCATCAAACCATACGAACTATAGACGGGACTTAATTGAGAGTCAATTAACACCTTCGCTAACACCTGATTTGAGTGCCATTATCGAAGATCAACCACCAACTATCACAGACGAAGAGTGCGAGTTGCTTGGTAAGACCGAGTTACTTGGACCCAACTACGTTCTAGATACCCGTCGAAATCATCCGTTGATTACGCCTATCATTGGATAAGCTAGATAACTTTAGCGACCACACCTACATAGTGGATTCACTGATTTAGGCAAGTATGCTGATACTCGAACTCAATGGCAGGCGCAAAGGAGGCTGTCGGCATTTTGTATGAACGACCATAGGAATACGGCAAAAGGAAGAGGCGATTGCCAAAATTTCTTGGAATCAGCCCAATTGGACAAACCACAGTTGGGCACTTCATTGGCACGCGTGCCAAGATTTTGTGAAGTTTGTGAAATTTACCAAACAAATTATCAATACTTTGTAGAAATCGAACTTTTATGAATCCCGCGCCCAAGAAACAATCGTATCAAATGACACGTAACACCCACAACCAGGCCCAAAAAGGGCCATAGAACACATGACACTGTGACAGATTTTATGTCACGAAATGTAGTGAATATAAAGTACGTATTTTAGAACGAAGAAAAATCATGCGGAAAATTGCCGTAAGACCAAGACAAAGTTGAAATAAATAAACGAATTAGAAAAAAATAGAAATAGAAAAATTAATCACTGCCAATTTGTTTTAAAGTCTATGCGCACATATGTATGTATATAATTATGCATTAGGGTGGGCCAATTTTTTATTATGCGGTTATAGGATAGAGGTAATCTACTCCAAAAACATCCACCAGGGGCGCGACTGTAAAAAAATTTTACATCATATCACGTTAAAAAAAATACTTTAAGTATGGCAACAACACTGGAAAGTAGACCGAAAGTAACTCGGATAGAAATTAAGCAAGATTTTCGGAATGTATGTATTATTTGACTGCAGCGCCCTCTGGCGTATGGTTAAAAAAAAAGAAAAAGTTAGGTACGGAAACTGATTCCTCGTACAGAAATTGACCCGCCCTAATATACATACATTTGCATCTCTGTATACTTTTTATAGTAATAATATATGCAATATTCCTAAGCTAAAGCCACTACAGAAACCAAAAGAAATCATACATGGAAATGTATACATTAGACCGTACCACCTCACAAACACACAAAAAAAAATCGCTGAGTCGTAAAGTATTTACATTTTCAAGTCAGTTTCGAAAAAAAATGTTTTATTTGCCGAACCTAGTGTTTGCCTTTATATATATTTTTTTTAAATAGTTCTACTGGAATAATCGAATTACTTCCTTCGCAAAAGTTTAATGTTAAAAGTTTGTATTGCAGAAACTGAGATCTCGTAGGTGAGTACAATAAGGTGGGAATTAAGGTCAATAAACTTTGGAACAAAAAATTTACTCTCTCTGAATTTAAATGCCGAAGATATTACGAAAAATTACAAAAGATGACCCCTACGTTCGGCAACAAAAAAATCGAAATTACCTTCGAATCGAAATACTTCCTTAGCAAAGGTTGATCTAATAATTTTTGGCTAGCTTTAGTTTACTACATTAGGGTGGTGGGAATTGAGACTAATAAGTAAGGAATAGAAGAGGAGGTTAATGACCTTTGGAACAAAAAATCTTGTTTCCTCGAGACAATCGAGAACATCGATATGTCATACTTTATGATGCGAGTGTAAATGATATGATGAAATTGTTAAAACGAGACCCCTAGGTTCGGCAAAAGAAATCGATATTGTGTGTAACTTTTTTTTCTGGTACGGTCTAATATATGTACATTAGGGTGGTCCTTAAATGTAGTAAGCAAATTTTCATACCAGATTTCCTAATCCTCAACCCCCTTCGTCGATGCTACTATAGTCGAAGATATCACATAAAAATTTTGGCCCCGATTGGAGATGGTTAAGGCGTGGCGCACAGCAGTCAAAATTCAGATTACCCTATGATACGTCTTAACCGTCTCCAATCGGGACCAAAATTTATAGGTGATATCTTCGTCTACGGTAGTATCGATTTTGGGTATGATTTCTCTATAGAGGAATCTGAACTTTGGCCCCTGTGCGACACGCCTTAACCGTCTCCAATCGGGACCACAATTTTTATGTGATATCTGTGACCGTGGTATTACCGATTGAAGGGGTGATACTGAAAAAAATCGCTCATTTGATTTTTTAAGAACCACCCTAATGTACGTATGTATAC